ATCAGATTTAAATAATTTCAACGGACTTTTCTGAAAAGAAAAAATTTGTAATTATTTTGTTTATCTTTTACCAATATTTCGAGAAATTATCACGTTTATGTTAGCTGTTCACGGCAACAAGACCTAACGGTCCTTAACGAAACCCCGCGTTTTTTTATTTTTTATCGATCAAATTTTATGAATTTTTTATTGTCATTTACTTATTTTGTAAATTCATTTACATTATTTTGTAAAGTCATTTACTATAATTTATTAAACTTTATACTATATAATAACATGTTTAAAATTAAACAAAAATCAAAAAGAAAAAAAAAAAAAAAAAAAGAGCTAAAGATATTTACATAAATATTCTAAATTTTTCATGCCCGTATAAATTATCGTAGTTCTTAAAACCAGTGCCGGATTAGGACTTGCAAGGTCTGGGGATATTTTTGAGCAGGTCGGCATATTTTATTAAAGTGACGAAAAAACCTCACAAAAATAAAACATTTTTTTGAAAATCCGCGCTCTTAAATCTGCGTAACATCATCGTTATCGCTTCCCATAATCCGAGATCTGGTCTAAATTTTCCTTCTTTAATTTTTAAATAATAAAAACATTTACTCAAAAAACCTGTAAAAATAACTAAATTATTCCTTTCAAATAGTCCAACCTTTCTGCCTCCCATGGGTATATGCGCCTTCTGCTCGCTGCCATGTTTCAACTTTGTCTGAATTCTAAACTTTACATTTTTGCATTACTGTTGTAAAAGACTCTTTCAAAGTTATTGTAGAATATAAGTAAATATACTTACTTATTTTATGAAGATTAAGGGAGAAAGGGTCAACTTTGAATGAGGCAGCTTTGAAAAAATTTATTTGTGAACAGCGCATGTATTTAAAATAAGTACCATTAATTATTTTATGAAGACAATACTTATCCTCACAACTGTCACTTGAATATGTTGCCGTTTGATATAGAATGGAAAAAATAGACATTTGTTTTGTTTTCGAGTGCAAATTTCAAACATTTGGATAAAATGTTGTAAGACTTTCCTGATTTTTAACAAGTGTTGAACCTAATGTTATTTTTTGTATAGAATATTTTATTCTATTTACAATGAAGCAAAACATTGCATTTAAAAATGTTATTTTGTTTCCATAAATAGTCATTTACTCTCTAAGACGTCATTGGAGCTCTTTTGAAAAAAAAAGAGCGGGGCACCTTTGAATCATTTAATGCATTGTTTTAACTTTCCGCACTTTATTGCTTTATTATTTATGGACTGAATTTTGGTAAAAATGGTTTGAAATTATAAAAAAAAGAGTGTTATTGAAGTCATAGAGGAAAATGTTAATAATGTTCTCCAAGTTGCAAATGGATTAATGAAGCCAAACGAAGCTGCTATAACCTATAATTTAAAAGATAATACTTTGCATTACAGAATAAAGAAGTATAAAATCATTATCCAAGACAGTGTTAGGTTTTACAAGTAAATATACAGTCGCAAAAGTATTTAATGAAGATGAGGAAATAATGTTGAAAGTCTATCTGATAAAAAAGCTCTAAAATTAACTATGGTTTGACATATAAACAAGAACAAAAATTAGCATTTCATTATGCAATAAAACTTTGCAAATGTCCAAGTAAATGGATAAAAAATAAACAATTTGGTGTAGAGTGGTTGAAAGGCTTCATGAAACGCCACCAAGAACCAACTTTCACTTCGAAATCCGGAAAATACAAGTTTGTCTTGCTCAACTTGTTTTAATGAGCACAATGTAAATCAGTGTTTTGATAACTATAAAAAAGTATTAAAAAAAATCATTTCACTCCTGATAGAATTTATAATATCAATCAAGTACTGTCTATTTCTCAGAATGATTGGCTTGTACGCAATCCGGGGAAAACAATAACAATACACGATTTAGTTTGCATAGTGACACCAGCATATACTACAACATATATTGCCAGGAATATTGTTGCAGGTTTTTCCACACCTGGAATACATCTTTTTTCCCGCCTTGCTTTTTGTAATGACAACTTTCAAAGTGCTGAAGTAACTAATTGTCCTCTGACAGAAACATTCAGTAAAGCTACTTCTGATAATCAAATTCTGAATAAACCTGAGGGCATAGTTATGCAAAAAGAAGACTGTAACATTGACTATGATGAGCAAACAAATATACGTAATGCCTTACACAATAACACCTGAATCAGTAAGACCATAACAAAAAGCTCTACCTCGTAAAAAAAATAATTAAGGAAGAAAAAGTGGGAAATCTAAGATTCTTACTGAGACCCCAGAAAAAGAAGAAAAAAAAAAATTTATCTTTTACGCAAGAAAAATTGAAACCTCATTAGGAATTTCAAAGCAAAAAACTTCTAAAATTAGATCTATATATACTGCCAATTATCAGTACTTTGGCATCATTAGCGTATATTTTACAAAGACTTTTGTTACTGATATACCAAACACGGAGCCTTATGGAACTCTGATGGTGACATTCTCACACTTAAGCGTCATGTCACTAAGTATCCCAGTGAAAAAGCGCACATGGGAGACGTATGGTTTTTTGCCATATGAAACGCATGTGGAAAAAATTATTTTGTCAAACAAAAGTAGATTATTTAATAAAAGATTACACTATTTACTACCAAAAAAATGTGTGAAAGAGCTTCAAATATAAATGTGTGAAAGAGCTTCAAATATAAAAGTGTGAAAGAGCTTCAACGATATTTTAAAAGTCGCTATAGCTTAATTTAAAAATAATCGTTGAAGATTTAATTTTTTTCTCACTTTATCCCATTTGGTATTAAATATGTGTGAGATTTAAGATAAAAATTGATGTAATATATTCCACTCACAGCCTAGATAGAATTTAACTTGAAAGATTAACCAAAATTCTCCAATCAAAAAACGTGTTGCAAAATAAATTTATTTTCAAAGAAATAATAATACATTTAAGACAAATAATAAAAATATGATATTCTTTTTTCGTATTTGAATGTCGCTGTTGGTATTTAAATGTCGCTTTTGTCTCTTAAGTTTGTGAAGTAAATCGCCTCGTCTCGTTCAACACCATTGTTTGCAGTATCTTTTAGCGTTTAAACATTTTTTGAAAATAATAAAGTAAATATTATTGAGTTCATAATAACTATGATCAAACAAATAAAAAATGAAATTTCTTAAATTTTAATTTTTGCTTATAAGCATATATTATAATACAGATCAAAATATATTAGATCTAAATGACTTCAATCTAAAGTTTATTTCATGTTTAATACTGAATAATGAAAACCTAACTTGAGATTTCTCAATTGCAAATTGTTAAATCACATTAGTTTATCATTTATAAATAAAATAAATTATTCTAAAAATTGTTAGAATGACACTAAAAAAAAAAAATTAAAATATTTATAGTATAGTGAATTTATTGGAGAAAACATATTGATCATATAAGCACAAAAATTTCCAAAAATATTGGCATTTTATACAAAGCCCGAAATTATCTAAACAAAAAAAACTTAACCCAACTCTATTATTCATTTATATATAACTATATAAATTATGCAATCATCGCCTGGGGAAGTACGGATAAAAGTAAATTACAACATCTTTATCGCCGTCAGAAAAATGCAATCCGTGTAGTTAATTATGCGGATCACTTTTCACATTCAAAATATTTTTTTGTTTATATGAAGGTTCTAGATGTTTATAAACTAAACATATTTAATGTCTTATGTTTTACTTTTATATAGAAAAACGATTTATCTTTATTGTTTTTAACGACCTTTTTTCTTTAAAACCAATAAATAAATACACATTAAGAAATAATAGTTTTTTAAATGAACCTTTTTGTAGAACTAAGTTCAATCAATTTTGTATTGCATATCGTACACCCCATCTTTAGAATAAAATAGAATTACCAAATTTTGATCATTCTATTACTCTTCCTGTTTTTAAAATTTAGTTAAAAAAATTCATCCTCTCTATGGACAACATTCTTAAATTCTATTAAAAATGTATGTGAAATGTATTTGTTAAATCTTCAACTTATTATATATTAAGATGTGTTGTATTTTGCATAATGTAAATACGTTAAACTTTCTATATATATATATATATATATATATATATATATATATATATATATATATATATATATATATATATATATATATATATATATATATATATATATATATATATATATATATATATATATATATATATATATATATATATATATATATATATATATATATACATATATATATTTATATATATATATATATATATATATATATATATATATATATATATATATATATATATATATATATATATATATATATATATATATATATATATATATATATATATATATATATATATATATATATATATATATATATATATATGTATATATATATATATATATATATATATATATATATATATGTTATAAATAAATATTTTTACTTTTTAAGGTTCTGATGATAAAATCCTTATGATCTTCTTTCGGAAACCTAGTTTTATATTGTTACACTCTAAGAAAAAATCCGTTATATACAACGAATTGTATCTGTCGCTATTGCACTAACAAGAAATCCGTTAAGTTGACGAATTAAAATTTTAACGAATTGAAGTCCGTTAGGAATAGTACTTTGAATTTACGAATTTATTTCGTTAGTGCAACGAATAATCCGTTAAAATTAAGGAGTTATTACACTAGACAGCAAATTTTCCGCGGTTATTATTCCTATGAAATAAATGTGTTAATAAGTTATTTTAGTGATTATTTCGTTAAAATCACTAAAATCTAAAATTAGAGAGGCCAGAATTGTGACTTCATAACCAAATAATCCTTATACTTGTTAATGTTTACATTTTTATTTAATTGCATTATTTTATTTCGATATTCTACATTAAAACGTTTTAACCAAAAATTGAAAACTAATCAAATATTTAAATATTTAATCCAATATACTTTAAATTACAATGAAAATACTTGCAACATTTTTTTAACACACTATACTCAAGCTAGTACATTTATATAAAAAAACACACATATATATATATATTAGATGTTTAAAATAAACCAATGCTAAGATAGTTTTTAGTTACTAGTTTTGGTTTGGTTGGTTTAAATAGGTTTTGGTTTTAAATATTGTTGTTACTCGTACACAGGTTCGCACTTTAATTGGACACCATGCTCTCAACTCCTTAAAGATTAATATAAAATAAAATAAGGAAAATATGGAAACATAATAACATACCTAGTATAAAACCAAAATAAAATGTTACTGATAGCACTATAGAAAATGTTTTTGATAATTCATTATATATAAATTTTTATTCTAAATTTTGTTATTTTAATTATCTCTGATATCGTTTTTTAAAGATAAAGTTAAATGGAACAAGTAAATTATATCTTTATTAAAATGCAAATTGAAAAAAAAGTATAAGATTACCTTGGCATTATCTGATAACTGAAAGACTCTATACATTTCACATACATCAATACCTATAAGGAGCAAAAAATAAAATCTCTAACCTTTTAAAAACTATGATAAATCAAAACAAGATTAAATATGCAGACCAAAATAAACGCAAGTAACTATATAAAAAAAATTAATTTTACAACTTATTTAAACTTACAGTGTCATACCACTTGTCACATGTTTAAAATAGCTAATTCTAAAATAATAGTAAATATAAAATATAGTAGAATAATAGTTAAAAACGTGTGATATAAAGTTAGTCTTGACCAAACTAAAAAAAAATGCATGCCAAAAGAAATGCAAGTTAAAATACAATTTTTTTTAATTTACTAATTCAAACTTACAGTGGGATATCACATGCCACGTGTCTAAAATAGTAAATTTTAAAATAATATAAACACGCCAGATATAAACTTATTATTATTATTATTATTATTATTATTATTATTATTAATAGTTGAAACTCAACAAAATATATATGCACGCCAATAAAAATGCAAGTTACAATATAAATTTTACAGCCAATTTAAACTTACAGTATGACAGCTTATACCAAGTGTCTAAAATAGCAAATTCTAAAATAATATAAACAAGCCATACACAAACTTAGTTGTAATCTAATTACATAAACATGAACGTCAAAAGAAATGCAAGTTAAAATATAATTTTTTTTTAAATATACTAATTCAAACTTACAGTGGGATACCACATGCCACGTGTCTAAAACAGTAAATTCTAAAATAATACAAACACATCAGATATAAACTGAGATTAAACTCAACTAAATAAATATGCAAGTTACAATATAAATTCTACAAACAATTTAAACCTAAAATGTGACACTAAATGCCGTGCCTCTAAAGCAGCAAATTCTAAGATAGTATAAATAAATAAACAAATATATAATATGAATGTTAAAAGAAAAAGAAGTTCCAATATAATTTTTTTAATTTTACAACTTGTTTTAACTTACAGCGGGATAACAAATGCCATGTGTCTAAAACAAAAAATTCTAAAATAACATAAACACACCAGTATAATCTTAGTTTATGATATTGGATGCCACATGTTTAATTTGGAAATTAATAAAAATTGCAATTTATAAAAGCATATTAACTAGCCATGTAAACTTAGCTGTAACTAACCTAAATAAATATACCTATCAAAGATGTTAACATTTTTAATTTTACAACTGATTTAAACTAATATGGTATGTTACTAGATGTCATATGTCTAAAATATAAAGTTAAACAAGACTATAAATAATCCATTTAGTCTATATTATAGAAATAATTGTTCAACTAACCCTTTACTACTAGTAAAGGATTAGTTGAACTTTTATTTCTATAATATAGACTATATGGATTGCATATATTCTTGCATAATTTTCTAGATTTAGACATGTAGTAACCTTATATTATATGTATTAACTTACCATATATGTTATTATATATTATTTAGTAATACTAATGGCTTTTAATTTAAAATAAAATAAACCTTATTATTAAATTTTCTGTATAAAGCTTTATATAGAAAATTATTTTAAATAAAATTTTTTTATACTGAAAATTTTTTTTTTGACCGATTAGAATATTTAATCCGTTGAATTAACGAAATTACAAAGAATCCGAAAATAGTCCGTTAATTTTCTGGTTTTTGGTAACGAATTAATCCGTTAATTTGACAAAAAAGCGCAATCCGTTACTTTTTTTAACGGACTGTTTTTAGAGTGTAGTACGACTTAAATGTATTACGACTTATGATTATGTATTACGACTTATAATTTTTGTAACACGACTAACATTGTATACTGAAAAAAAAAGAAAAAAGAAAATATATTAAATGATTTTTGATTAAATTATCAGCTCTTTTACTTATATTTATATTTACTAGCCCATCCCGTTTAGACCCTGATGAACAAGTTTTAACGCACAGTGTCTCAAAATATTGCCAAGGTAATATTTTCTTAATAAAAAAATTTCACTTTTTTTATTGGATGACTCATTGCTCCTACATCGAGTTTGGATTTTGGATTTGGTAGCAATCTATCAATAAAAAAAAAAAAAACTTAAATCTTTTATCTCAAAAAAACAAACAAAACAAGTTGCCAAAATTGGTCCGAAAATATTTTTATGCAAAATCAGTTTCATAATGGGATTAAAAAGACATCCAAAATATTAGCTTTAAAGATCCAAAATATTACCTTTAATAAAGAATGAACCGTCAAATGAAAAATGCTGTAATTATTCTACAATAAATTCTAGGATTTAAAATATGTCACTCGGAGAACGATTGGCTCGTTTTGCTGCTATTATTAGATTTTTTATAAATTCTATAAATCGGATCAAATTCGTGAATTGATTTGTCATAAACGCTAAATTTTACAAAATTCAAAATAAGTTTTATGAATATTATATAAAAATTTAAAACAAATGTTTCAAATGTTTATAAATCTTTTTTGGGAGTAGTTAAAAAAAAAAAACATTCTCAAATTATAAGTTAAAAATTATAAGTAAAAGATTTTAGATTTAGAATTGGTTTTAATGAATATTCAAAATACAGCCGAAGTATATATTAACCTTGAATTAGAGAGAATGACAGGACGGCACAATTAAATTATTTCCCCAAACTAATTATAAAGAAACTTGACATTTAAATAAAGCAAAAAAGTAGAAATATTTATAATTATTTTTTTGCAAAATTTTTTTTCGATATAGGTATGAACATTAGGATACATCACATTAAATTTTTTTGAAAATGACATCTGGGTAATGATATTAGTGACTTTTGGGTAATGATATTAGTGACATCTGGGTAGTGATATTATTATAAGGTAGGTTAAGCAATTTTTAGCCATAAAATTAACAGTTATTTTTTTCGTGTGTAAAAAATAACTAGAAAAATGTAAAAAAGCGATAAAAAAAAGCAACTTTTGCTTAAAAAATCAACAAATCTTTACTAATGTCTTCTTAATTTTTAATTATACAACTTTTAATAAGTTCATTTGTAATTGTAATCAATTATAAAACACAGTTACTTAGAACTTGATACTTGCTTTATGTTAGTAGTGAATTTAATTATTATTATTATTGTTTCATTTTTTTAACACAATGTAATTTACAATGTAAAAAGAAAAATCAGAAATGTATTTCACAGAATTTTTTCCTCCAGAGTTTTTTTTAAAATTTCTCTTTATTCTTTTGCGTTCCTGCACTCTATTGCATACTTTTTATTTTGAATTAAATTTTGAAAATTTAACATCTGAAAACGGCATAGGTCCTGGATATTGCTTACAAACAAATGTTGAAATAAAGGGTGTTTCAGTTGTGATAAGAAAATGCCTACAGTTGTTTTATTATTAAGAAGACGAAGGAACAAGTTTAATTTATTTTGTTAAATACTTTTTGAAATTTCCAGAACTTTAAATAAAGTTCTAACTGCATTTTGAATCATTTAAAAGCAATTTTAGCGCACTCCTTACAATTACATCTACCTTTTTCATCAAAGCAGAATTATTTTCACAAAGCTCCATATATATATATATATATATATATATATATATATATATATATATATATATATATATATATATATATATATATATATATATATATATATATATATATATATATATATATATATATATATATATATATATATATATATATATATATATATATATATATATATATATATGTATATATATATATATATATATATATATACATATATATATATATATATATATATATATATATAAATAAATATATATATATATATATATATATATATATATATATATATATATATATATATATATATATATATATATATATATATATATATGCAGTATTGGACAAAACATTTGCAACCAACATTGAACAATACTAAAAAGTGTTCCTAATTTTACATGTCTTAAAAACGAAACGAACTATGCTACCACAGAAAACAGTTCAGGAGTCTGGAGTCATAGGATGCCATGGCATGAGCAATCAGCTGACAGTTGACAGCACGTAGGCAGAATTTCATTGACAAGTGCCATTTTGCAGCGGACAAAACAAGTGCAACTTTTTTGGTTTGTTTCATTTTCTTAAGTCTGGTCCGTGTCAACGTCACGGATGTTTTTTAATATTTAAAGGATGTATCCAGAAGTTTCCGGAAGTTGCCAGAAGCATGCAGACGCTTCCAGAAGTTTCCAGATGAAGCATCTGGAAGCATCCAGAAGCATCCAGACGCATCCAAAAGCTTCCAGAAGCATTGAAAAGAAGCATCTAGAATCTTCCAGAACAGGTTCACACAAGTTCATTTTATTATATAAGAGACATGTAAACCGACATGTAACTCAGTCAGTATATAAAAGTCAATCAGTTAGTATTATCAAGATAGTTTATCGAAGTGAGTTTTATCAAAGTGTTTTATCAAAGAACATCAATACAAAAAGTGAAATACAACAAATGTTTCATTACATCAATACAAGCCACATCCAACCAAGACGCTGTGTTCCACAGAGCATATTTGTATCGTCACAAGGTGAATGTAACACGGTAGGCCTTGATAAGCGTGATTATTCATTTTTATTATTTTTATGACTTCAAGTGCAAAAATGGCTCCCGATAGTCTTGGATTGGAACTAAGAAAGGAAATTATTGGCAATTACGTAAGTGGAATGTCACAAAAAAGTATTTGTGACAAATATCGCGTGAAAAAATAGACCGTATCAAGACTATGTTCCAAATATCATTCTACGGGGAAGTTGGCAGCAGATAACAAAGGTGGAAGACCGCGTTCCATCACTTCTAGAGAGGATTCTATGATTTTCAGATCCATCAAGAAAGATCACTGGATATCATCAGTCAAGATAGAAAAGCAATTAGAGCTGCTTGTATCGGACAGAACAATCAGACAACGTCCGTTGAAGCCGGATTGTTTTCTCGACGCCCTGCAAACAAACTGCTGATTTCACTAAAGAACCAGAAAAAAAGACTCGTGTTTGCTACATCTCTGAAATGTGCAGAAATGGCGAACTGTCCTGTTCAGTGATAAATTGATGTTTAATATCATTGGGAGCGATAGCATTTGCCGTGTACGTCAACCGGCCGGAAAACGCTACAATTAACGTTAATGCCATAAGACCGTAAAGCATGATGGAAGCAATGAAATGGTCTGGGGGTGTTTTTCGGCTTACGGTCTAGGTCCATACATTGAATCGATGGAATAATGGACCGTTTTATGTATAAAAATATCCTGAAATATGTTATATTACCTCATGCTGAATGGAATATGCCAATAAAATGGGTTTTTCAGCAGTGTTTTTCGGCTTACGGTCTAGGTCCATACATTGAATCGATGGAATAATGGACCGTTTTATGTATAAAAATATCCTGAAATATGTTATATTACCTCATGCTGAATGGAATATGCCAATAAAATGGGTTTTTCAGCAAGACAACAATCCGAAACACACTGCAAAAGTAGTCAAGCAGTGGTTTCAAGGCAACCACCTGTCGGTAATGGATTGGCCGCCTCAATCTCCGGATTTCAACCCTATTATGAACCTGTGGGAGATCGTCAACCGCAGAATTAATTTTTATGGTGTTTGTAATAAGGAACAACGTTTCATTGATCACCTGACTGAATCTATGCCACGAAGATGCAAGGCTGTGATCGACAACAAAGGGTTCGCCACGAAATATTGATAGCGAAATACAGCTTGGTCAACATTTTGTGGAGTTGCACTTGTTTTGTCTAGAAGGAAACCAACTTTTTTTAATACTTTTGATTAATTTATTAATTTTCGTGTACAAATAATGAACTTTGTGATGAATAAAACTTGAAGAACGTTGTCTCTACAAGTTACATAGTTATTTCTCTAAATTGAAAAAATGCAGCATTTTTATATAAAGAAACTAATTTAGCATTATTTGGTTGCACTAGTTTTGTGTGATATATATATATATATATATATATATATATATATATATATATATATATATATATATATATATATATATATATATATATATATATATATATATATATATATATATATATATATATATATATATATATATATATATATATATATATATATATATATATATATATATATATATATATTAAAAAGTCAGTTTTTTTCGATATTTATCTTAATACAATTAAAATTAATGTATATAAATTGCATGTTTTTATCAGCTTTTTAAGACCAGAGAGGGTAGAGCTTAGATATTATCCGCATATGCTACCACGCCAATAAAGTTACCGTATATAGATGTGTCTTAAATACCTTGATTCTTAATAGATTCAAAAAGACTTTCAGTGTAAATGTTGTAGAGATAAGTGAAAGAATCGATCCTTGTCTTACTCCTTGTTTTAGAAAAAAGAGACTGGTTTACACTTTGATATGAGACTACTATTATTATGTAACGA